GAATTTTGTCAGATATGGGTGGAGGTGTCACTCAGAGTAGGAAGAGTGAAGGCTGCAGCTGAGGCTGGTATGTGATTATCTCCAGAGATGTCAGATCTCTGGTTCTGCTGAACATCTGGTTCAAAGATGTTAAATACTAGCATATGTTATATATCCTGAGTGAGTTCCAGGCTCCGCCAATTAACATTAGATTTCCATTGCAAAAGTTTCTGGCAGTGAACTTCTCTGCCAGAGAAGCAGCACTGAGGAGGGATGAACACGAGGGTGTTTGTAAGGAGGAGGCACAGGAGGAGAGTACTGCCTGAGAACATTTCATTGCTTTCAGGTACTAGCACTGCCCTTCTCCCACGCAACCCAGAGGAACCCTGGCAGGGAAAAAAGAAAGTGGTAACCCATATGCTATGAGAAATGTACCTGCTAACTGAAGGAAAATAAAGGGAGGTGGATGACGAGCAGCCCTGCAGAGTGCAGGACACTCTTCCTAACCCTCCATGGTTACAGAGGCATAAAGGTAACTGTGCATCTCGGAGTATTGATGGAAATGGACACAACAGCACTCTCCAAGAGCAGGGAACAAGCCTGCTCATTTCACAGATTTTCTGCACTTGCCCGTTCCAAAGCTCAACTCAGACCATACTTTCACGATGCTCTTTTGTTAAGCAAATCTTTTTTTACGTAAGATGATTAATAAGGTCAACTCCTGTCAGGGGAAGGAAGGCAGAGAACCTCTTTGACCACAGCACATAAACATTTCTTATGTTGATGCACCATAAAGAGAAAGACTTATGTGCACGAGGATTTTAAAAGATTTTGACAAAAATAATATTCATTATATGGGAGGAAAGGGCATAAAGGTTAAATACTCAAATTTAATTTCAGCTAGTAATAATACTCTTCAGCAGTGATAAAGCAAAATTATGGTGCTGTGATAATGCTCTCACAATTGGCATTATAGGAAGATTTTAATCATAAGGACAGTGAAAAAAATGTATATCTGAAACATTTAAACACATTTTTGGGAACCATTTTAAAGTATTACTGTAGTCTATATAGAGCTTGGCATCTCTATTGCTGTTTCAAACAGTATTTTGCAAGTAAAAATATCACATACTTGTTTTATACAGTTTTAAAGAAAAGGGTTGGATTTGCACAGGAACAACCTGTAACTTATGCCCTGGCATCTTTTAGGCAGAACTGCATGTTTTGCAGAGATTACACTTACACATTAGCTTAATGGAAAAGGAAACAACCCCAGCTTCTCATAAAGTAAAATGTAAATATATGCACACATGTGCATGTGTATATATGTCTATCTATCTATATCTATATATCTATATATCTATGAAATTTAGGCCATTTGCCTACATTTGAACAACATGTTTACTGTTTTAGCATTAAGGCTTCTTGCTTCCTCCATAACTGAACATTCTTTCCTCAGCAAGAAAAGAAGGGTGCTCTTCCTTGTGTTTTGTCAAAAAAAAAAACCAAACAAGAAACAAAACTAAGAAACGTTTTCTCAAATGGACTGCCATATGCTAAGGTACCAACCAGCCTGAACTCTGTTCTGCAAAAAACCCCCAAACCTACAGGAGAAAAGTAAAGATGTTGAATAGTTCTTGCAAGGCTAAGTTTAATGCATGACTGCAAATATCAGTGTACACTAATAAGTATTTGCTGCTTGGATGCATGCATTTCCATGGCTTAACATGGTTGCATTTCTTTCAATGTCAACTTTAATAATGTATTTTCTAAGTTTATTTTATTTGAAGGATAATCACAGTGAAAATGTAATGCATTTTATCCAAATTATTGCATATACTGAAAATACTGTGCATTCTCTCAATCTTAACCCCATCTTAACCCTATTTTAACAGTTTAAACCAATGATACAAGACAACTATAAGCCTTTCCTGCATCAATCAAGAAAAGTCTGATTAATATTATTAAAGGGGAAAAAAGAAAGTTATTTTTTAACTTAAAGTAACCGTCAAATAGCAGCCTTTATAATTTTTAATGTTCTGTAAGAATTTATTCTGTTATGTATTACAAAAAAGTCTTGGGTAAACAGAGTGCAACATTTCAATTTTTAACTATAAACAACTGAGAACTTATAAAATCCTCAGCGGAAATCTTTCATATTAGCAGGCAAAACCTCTGTATTTTGCAAATGCCTGCAATGAACAAATAGCCTCATTTCCTTGAATTCTGAGTTACTTCTAAGTAAAATATGAGCAAATTCTTAAAAAAGGAAAACTTAGATGCCCAAATCCTGCTACCATCTTCAAAGCATACTGAGCCACCAGAAGAAATATAACAGGCATTGAAGGGAGTAAAGCACTCAGAGAAAAAAAAAGGTTAAAACACACAAGTATTAAGAAAGAGTAACATTTTAAATGCACGACATTTCAAAGATGTCTTCGATATCACTTTGCACATGTTACAGAAGACTAAAACCCAAGTTTGATACACTTATACAGCACACAGGGGTTATTTTCCACAGTGGTTTAGGAGCCTTTGTTCTAGGTAAGAGAAGAAGATGCCATTTCCCCAAGAACAGTAACACTGTAGGACATTTATACCCCTTCCCATCCTGTGCTAGCTTGCTCAGAGTTGAGCTCAGATACTGCCAAAAAATGAAGCATTATGCTTCATAAATATACACCCATGAAGAGAAAATGAAGAAGACAGAAAAAGTGGGATGAGGTTTAGGCCACAATAATACGTGGGGAAAAAAAAATTATACTACAATCTCTTTTAAAAGATTGCATAAAAAGCATGTTTTATACCAGTTACAATTCTTTATGGAAAGCTACGTTGCAAAAGAAGGTTAAAAAAAAAAAGGCAGCTGGTCTTTGCACAATTGAGACAAACTAGGCAAACAGGATTGTGTCAGCACATATAAAACTACATAGGCCTGAACTAGTACAAAGATCTCACATATGTTGTGCTACTTTCTAAAATTTCAGTATTTTAACTAATTCAAAATACTATGCCTTTAGCGTAATAATCTCCTCCCCTCAACTCTAAGAGCCGTGCGCATCAGAATAAGTTAGCTGACATTTATATGCGATATAATATATATACTTATTTTCTGAAATCACTTAAAACTTTGAAATTATTTTCTAAAAAACCCCTCTTTCCTACCGAGTGGCAGCATCTGAAAAGCCATTAAGAAAGTATTTCAGAGCCACTAACTGTTCTCACTCTATCCCATGTATTAATGAGGTGATTTAAGTCCAAGCAGGACAGCTCAACTATGAAGCATCTGACAAAGAGGGACAAAGATTAGTTTCAGGAAGAAGCACTTCTGAGGACACATGAGTCGTTATTACATGCAAAAAAACCAGATCAAGCTGAAAAAAACAAAACTAGCCTGAAGTGTTGAGCAGGCCCTCAGCATTATCAAAAGGGAAGGAATTAGGGAAGACTTATGTCAGGATTCTGTTACTTTCTAAAGACCTCTGGTTCTCGAGAGACTTCAAACTGACTGAAAAAAATCCCTTGCTAAGTTTGTGTTTCTGAAGCACACACTCATTCCCAGAATTCTGGAGGATGTTTCACGTCTCTAGGAAGGGCTTAGGAGCACATTTCAGACTTGGAAGCGAAAAACAAACTACCCATATGTCAATGTTCAGCTGAGAGACAAATATAGCTCAGTGGTTTGGAGCTCTCTGTTAACTGGTGATTATCCAGCAGAAACTGGGCCAGATCGTGGTATTTTCAACTTGAACAACTAATGGATAATCACTGCAAGTAGCTACAATCACAATCGGTTTTACCAAGCTCCTTGACATGGACTACGAGGAATAAAGGTAACCTTTTCACAATTAAAGAAAAGTTTCTACTTTTACAGAAAAATCAGCTGAGTATACTTTGACCAGGATGAAGTCATAAAAACCTGGAACAACTTTAACCTCTCTGACTATAATGTGTCAACTTCTGGCGAAGTCTTATTTCACTAAAAAGTCAAATGTAATTCAGAAGGGGATACAAACCCTGAGAAAGAAATTACATTGACATTCAAAAATTACCCACTTTTATACCTTCGGACATCATCATATCAACTATTGCCACAACAGACCATGATACTAGTTTTGCTACGTAGTCGTATTTGAAAACAATTAAAATCATTACCTCCAAATTCTTTTCTAGCAGGTGCAGGACTCCTACCGCCTTACAGTATTTAAGAAATGAATGCAGCGATAATGAAAAATATCAGTACAGTAAGAGGGAAGAAAAAGAATGAGAAAGTTAAAAATGACAAGGGTCAGTTTGTTATTAACTATGTTGCTCATATGCTTCTGTACATCCAGTTTCTCTTAGTGCTCAATTGTTTACATTTTCAGATGATCCAGATGGAGGCTACATTAAAAACTTGGGCATGATAAAATGCATACATAGTGATACCAAAATAAAAGGAATACAAATCAATGAATGCACAAGATTATTTATCTTCAATTTTTAAAATGAAGATGCTATAAAAATAACAATGTTGAATAAACACTGCTGTAGGAACCCCACACTTTAAAACTGAGAAAATAAGTTTTTAAAAAAATTAAAACTTATTCACTTAGCAAAGACAATAATATTTCAATGGTACTGAAAAATGCTGTTACTTCCCATGCTATTATTGCTATTAAATGCACCAATTAAACATTTTGGTGAAAAAACGGTATCTTTCATTAATCCCCAAACCGACAATCTAAAATGTAGTTTCAAAGTTCGTCTTGCAGACTTGAAATGAAATTTTCCTGACCATCTGATACACATCACTGCATTACCTGACGGTGGAGGCGGCCTCTGTGGTGGAGCGGGGCGTGCAGGAGGAGCAACGGGGCGAGGTGGTGGAGGACGCTTCGGTTCCAAGCTCTGAGGAGACTCTTTCTGCTGGGTACCAAGCTGAATTTCAGCTGAAAAACATGACAGAGAAAAATGCAAAAATTAATTACTCGTACATTCTAATCACAGTTAAGCTTTTCTAATAACAAATTATTTTCACACGGATGATAGTTGGTCCCCAGCCCTGCTTTTTTAAGTAAGGAAAAACAAGAGGAATAACCAGTGGTGAAAAGTAGTAGATTTCTTAAATCAAGATTTTTGTTTTGTATGCTTTAATCCATATATGCTTTTCACAGAATCCTGAGCATGCTTACAAATTGCTGAGTTCCAAATTTTGGTTCTGACACTTATTTGTGAACTAAGTGCTCTGGATAAAATGTTACGAGGGGAATTTTGAAGGCATTTTATAAGTGTTTGTAAAGTTACTCGAAACTACATTGAAATAAACTGTTCTAAAAGCCATTCCAAAAACTAATTCTAAATGTCCACTTTGTTACCAAAGTAAAGTTGTGTTTAAACAGAAGCTTTCATATGTTACACCCAATTTACAAACCTACTGATAACAATTTACATATTACAGCTGATAGCAGCATTAATTGAAACAGGCTGTATTTGAAGAGTATGACTGAAGTGAACTCGGATTATACTGACGCATTGCAATGGAATTTTTTTCCCAATTAATCAACTTAGCCCATTAGTCACATAACTTTTTGAGATGTCTCCTCCATGACAAAATGCTAAAGAACTAGAGCAAGTTAGTTTACAGTGGCATAGATCACTGGACCATGTACTAAACAAGACTCAGGACACAAAGCTCTTCCACAGCCCACTAGGAAAACTGAAGCACAAAGACGAGGTGATTTGCCCAAGGTCACTTCCATGTAAAATGCTAGATAATGATGAGCGCAGCCTTTTATATTGATCTAAAAGCTAATATTTTACCACTGGGCCATATAGCTGCCAGATTATACAGTAGTAATAGAGGCAGTCAAGCAATGTAATACACACTGTGCGTGGGAACAGGTGGTCCAGGAGTTTTTGTGGGTGCTCGGCTCGGTCTCACTGGAAGCATCGGTCCATCCGATAGTGTAGGGGATTGGCAGGGACTGGAACGCGGGGAAGAGCTTGGGGAGGTTCCAAGACCAGAGCTTGAAGTTGGCTGTAGATGCTGAGGAAGGATCTCTTCTACTTCAGCACTATAGTCATCAATGTCTCCTAAAGAACAAACCCCACCCACCCCCCCAAAAAAAGCATGTAATATAGAAAGGAACAACAGCTACTTATTTTAAAGAGTGAGAAAGTTACAAACTGATTCTGGGCATGGGATTTTCTGCAAAAAACCCTCAAGTTGCAATGAATTAGCTCAAAAACTAAAATATGATGCTTACATCATAAAACTACAAATAAAAAATCTGAATGTATTCAAACTAGCTGAAAATACTCCAAATGCACAACATATATTAAAAAATACATATTATAGGTAATCACAAGCAATATTACAAGTGCCACACTACTAATATAGAAACAATTAGCTTTACAAAGTAGACCTTCGCAAAAATTATTTTCCTGGTTTGCCACAGATGGCAAGCTTCACTTATTCTTCAGAAGGCTGGGCAAGTGATTCAGAGCTATTCGTAATACCTCCTGTTTGAAAAAGTGAAATGATGTTTAAAAAATAAGCTTCAACATGGTAAACTGTCCATTTAGAATACCTTTATATTGATGTTAAAGATGCCTAAAATAGACAATTATCACACTCCAAAAAGACCACAGTAATTTTTTCTTTCATAACTTCTAGGCTTCTCTCTCATCACACACATAAAAGACACATAATGTTGCAAAGAATTTCCAGCTCAGAACAGACTAACCAGGCTGCTATTTGGTTACTAGCTCTTGATTTAAGAGTCTTGCGCGATTTTTGAGATGTCACATCTTAAGGGAATCATACCATTTCGTGTAGAACTCTTGATAAAGTCAACCAATCATACAGGAACCTAAACTGTCAAAGTCCTGTTTCCTACCTGCACTGGAAAACGGATGAAGTATTTTGACACTGAGACTACCACAAATTCCAACTTTTCATACAAGTTTCCCATATCTGTAATATCTGTACCTTTATCAAAACATAGCCTCCTTTATGAAACACCTGTACAAAAATCCCCTTAGTCTACTCTTTCCATTATCCATGACTGCCATCTCCTTTTTTGAAACTTTTACAACATAATGTTTGCCACTAAGAAGCTTAGAAATTCAAAGCAAACGAGCTGCTCAGAATAAACCAACACAGGCACCATGACTACAACTACAAAGCACATCTGCTCAGGAAATGACAAAAAGCCAATCCTGTAAAATACATATGGAGAGGTAACACACACAGAAGTGTCAGCAGGTAAAGTTTGGTTTTTTTCTGCTGTTGAAAAGCCAGCTGGTTTACTTGCCAAGGCTATAAGAAGAATATATTTTAACGTAGAGAAGAGAGTAAAGCAGAGTTTTCATAAAAATTAATTGATTGAAAAATAAGCTGTGTCAAAGTATGTAGATTAGAAACATTCAAGTAAACAAAAGCAAAACCGCAGAGGCACAATTGCTGCAACAGCAATATTCAGCAACTTGAGGATTCTGCTAGAAGAGTATGACATGAATAGATACAAAATTCCTTCAGGAAAAAAACAAACCTGACAAAACCTAGCAAACAGGGAAATAGCAACTCCTCGATAATGAAGATCAGTCTGCTCCAAGGAGCAACAGAGGCTGAAGATTTCCTTGCTCAACTCCTATCTGCCTGCCTGTCAAAGGCTCATAAGGTATTTTCTTGGGGAGTGGGAAACATAAGTGCTTCGCACTCTCAGGTTGTGTATATCCTGCTTATAAGGTGTCTCCATGAACAGTAAAACTTGTCTGAATGAAGCAACCTTGAGTGGGTAGGTCACAGGATAAAGCAAGAAGAATAAAGAGAATATCAGCAAATTAGTAAAACCTAAAGATAAGGTGCACACTGACACTGCTCAACGAGTTGTCAAGACACTAGTGTAAATAACAAGATTTATAACTTACTTGTTTTAGATGGGCATAAACATTTGAAATTAAAGTACTGATATGTGCATTCAAGTAACCACATTATCTAGGACTGAAAGCATTTCAAAACAAGCAACATTTTATTTCAACAGACCTTCCATGTCATAGTCTGCAGTAACCTCAGCATCTTCACAAAGCAAAGTGGAGCTTGTTGATGAAGGCAGCCCAATATTAATCTTCTCTAGATTCATTTCATCTTCCAGAGTTCTAATCCAATCTGGATTTTTCAAGCTTATGTTTATAATCTTTCCTAGTAGCTGAATTGCCAAAAAGGTATGCACAAAACAGAAACTGGTAAGAGTATGAATAATAATATTAAAACTCAGCATTCTTTTTGTAAAGAAAAACAGACTTTCTTATACACTACAGAAGTCATTTTAAAGATTGATAAAACAGCAGGCCTTCACTCTGCCAACCAACACATGACACTGAGCCCCTATCCCACATGAATTTTCAGTGAAACTCTCAGCAGATGCAATGATCCATCTGCAAACACCACATTATAGAATCTAAGACTCAGCA